TAAACCATTCCATATCATTTGGAGCAACCGTAGTGAAGGAAATGTCCCCAAGAGTTGATTTGAAATTAGCGGTAGGGTCTTGCAAAATAACGCCTTGTAAGCAAAAGAAAATCTTGTAACCAGGTTATGCAGGAATGTTTTTTGTGCCTAAACTGGACGGAAGAATTCGCATATGTGGAACTCACTAAGCTTAACGAAAACGTTCTTCGAGAGACATCCCCACTCTGTCTAAGATCGACAACCTGTCGAGTCAAGTCACGGCGGAATCTCAAGGCAGGATCCGGAGCAGTGAACCGTTTTAACTAGTCGTGTAAATTCAACCTCGTTCCCAGGGCCTTTCCTTAGCCCCACCCCCAACTCCACCCCCAACTAAGGGAAAAGGCTCTGGGAACGAGGTTGGTGTAAATCAAGCACAGGATGAGTTGAGGGGAGAGGGAGTTAGTGGGTCGGAGAGTTTCCGCCAAACCATGTGAAAAGTGAGAGAGCAGATTAACGATGCAACGGCGAAAAAAATCTACAATGAGAGAAGCCGTTTATATTTTTCCCGTTTTTTAAAATTGGTTCTGTATTTCATAGGCGGATTTAGCCGGGCTGAGGGTCAGGGCCCGAGGAGGCCGCGGCCCCCCTTTTTTTTCTTGTATTTTCAAAACGTTTTTGTACGACCCCAACCCTTCTATATGAGTGTTGTTATAATTATACAATCAGGTTTCAATTTTCAATTTCGTAGCTTTCCTTATTTATGTATGCTGCCTCTCCTGAAAAGTGAAGTTTTCATTCGGGGGGAGGGTGGGGGACTCGGCCCCCTCTTTCTGAATTTTCTGGATCCGCCCTGTATTTTTTCCTTATAAAGAAGTTGTAGCTACTTCTTTCATGCTTTAAGTTTTAAGGAGGGGTGCACGAAAGAAGTAAAAAGAAAAAGATGATGTTCTTACCACAAATTAATCACGGCAAGATGGAATCTACTTGTTAAATGTATCTATACCCCACCAAGGGAAAGTAAGAGAAAAACGGGGGAACCCTGATATTCTCTTGCGGAAAAAGATAGACGTCGGAGGATTTTTTGCTGAAGTAGTAAAACTAGTTAATATTCAAATGTATATATCTAAGAAAAAATTAATGATATTAGCAACTAACAGGCATATATGGCAAAACTAGTCACGTGCAATAAATGTAGCGTATTGGTTTGAGATAAAGTTTTTTAATATGTTGGTTGAGGTGTCGCGGATATTTCAATGTCTTTCTCTAGGTGTTAATGCGTAATTACATTGAGTATCTACTATACGGCTTCTGACCAGCTTGTACTGGGGGTTATCTGCTGTCTCCAAGATATTCCTTTCCTTCTTCCTCCAGTTGTCCTTTCTTCGCCAGATTTCTCATGGTGGCGTAAACCTTGAAGCGTTTCTGAGCATCTTTGGCAAGAAACACAGTTGTAGGGAGCCCATGCTACTAGGACAGCCAGAAATCAACACGATTTGAAGAGCCGTGATGGAACAGCTATCACTGGAGGCTAGGTCACTGGAGTGAAAACCATGTGAAATTCCATCCATCTGTCTGAGCAACACTGATTAGGCATGATCAAGCAATTTTTTTTTGTCACGCCCTTCTGTGCGGCCTTTTTCTGCAATCATGTCATGTCACGTTGAGAAAAAAAAGTTTAGTTGTTGTGGGGATCTGAGCATTAGGATGACGAAGCTGGTGGTGAGATCGCGTAACGTCGGCCTAGCAGTATGGCTGTGTGCCTCAGCGAAATCTGTCAGTGAAGCGATGTTCTTTTGTTTCTACGCCAAGGGGAAAGTTTAAGACTAAAAATTTATTGTCGGAAGCGTTGCCTGCCCAGGATGCTACCTACACTTGCCCTCTCTAACTTGTCACTTTGTTGGCCCTCGGTTGCGCCAAACTGGGCAGCATTCGGAGAAGTAAAAGTGATGACTGACATGGAAGGAGGATAAAATATTTAATTCACTCAGTATGATATACATTGGTATATGTGTACATTTGAATATAACATGCAGCTTTTATCGTATACCTCTGAAGTACCTCTATTATGCCTAGGTAGGTCCTAGAACTGCCATGAAACGATCTCCCAAAAAAAAAAAAACAGCAACGTTCATATTTTCTTATCGATGAAAAAAGACTTAAAGACAAATAAGTCCTTTGCTAAAAGTACTCTCAAAGTTTCTTATAAAGGATACATTGTAGGGATCCTTTCAGTGTTTGGCTAACTACATTAGTTGCGCGCGGGAAACTAAGTCCAAGACGGTAGTGAGATAAAGGAAAACACAATCAAATAATTGGTAAACGGATCTTTCATATAAGAGAAGATCTGCAAACAGAACAGTCACGAACATGCTGCAACAAAACTCGAGTAACAAGATAACCAGCTTGTCATTGAATTCATAGTGTATTTGTACGCTAAATTCTCTAAATTGTTCAATTTTAAATACATAAGTTATTCTGTGTCAAGAAAGTCTCTCTTTATCATTTCAACCAAAGTATTTCCTGTAGGATCGGCAAGTTTCACTTTGATTTCTTCAGGTCTGTACTTTTCATTTGTTTGGTAGCGAAGCTGTGGTTTCTCACACAGGATAATGTTCTTCACGTATTCCGCCACTTGGTGCGAAGTTTGCATCGTGCTTCCGAACATAGAGAACATTCTCCCTGCAAAGGTTCCTAGAAGTTCTTGACTCTTTTGGTCAGCGTCTGATAAACTGAATTTATTAACGAAGGCGGTACCATTTTCAGGCCCCAGGGTCTGGGTAGGGCCTGGTTCGAGTATGGTGCACCTGCAAAGATAGACATGGCTTTTTTATAGGGCATGAAGTGTGCGCTGTAGGAATACAGTCAACATTACAAAAAAAATGAAAAAGGGTCATTGAAAAATCATGAAACGGCGTAAAAGATGAAATATGTCATAGAAATTATTATCTCACACGTTATACCTTCTAGAGGAATAAATCTGCACCACACCTAATTTGCAGTTCCTGGTTGTCGTGCGTCAAATGACGTCAAAATATGATAAGAATAAAAAAACGGTACAAGAGACGCATCCAAGTGTGTCAGTAACGTCTTGGCCACATTTTGACTTGTTATGTGATCTTTTGCAGTACAGACTCATGGCAATAGGAAATGCATTTGTTTTACATGGTAAAACAGCAAAATGTCTTACCCATACATGACGTCACTATGAACAACCTTTAGTTTCTTTATTAATTGCAGACTGCATATGAAACCAGGCCACACCGCCTGATATGAAACAAATTAGAATCAATGTTGCCGCGGGTCTGTTCTGTAATGGATCAAAGAAGATGTCATAATGCGGTAAGAAAATTAGTAACACACTAGGAGGCCCCTCATGTGCCACTTTTTGTGGTTTCCGGCTAATTTACATCATCGGTGACCCATTACTTCACAGACACACGCAACATGAAATCTAGTTGTTGGTTATATGATAAGCTGAGTATTTCATACATTTTGANACAAATTGTTATTTCAGTGCGGGCGAATTTCGCGGATATTTCTGGAGTACAAATGCGGGCGTGATATTTGTACTCGTCTCGTGCATTATTTGTACTCTACGAAGCTCATTTTGATAAAAATGAGAAGTACTTTTCGTCAGCTAAAAGATTTGTCACGATAATAAAGTTACTGACTGTTACTCTACCCATACACTGAAATATTCCGGTGGCTCTTAGTAAGGGTTTATTTTACAATAGCTTCGTTTGTCTTGCTGAAATGACTACGCACTTAAATTGTCTATATCTCACAAAGAAGTATTCATGGTAAAGCTATAAAACCAAGCAAACGCCTCGAGCAATAGATCCGACTTGGTTTTATGGACAAGACATCTACCATTTTTTTTTTTAACGCGATCAGCTCAGGTTTGATTGGGAAGTTTTTAATTTCTGTGCGAATCATCTATCATTTTGATCCATCTGAAATAATAATCAAATACTCGTTCATGACCTTCTGCCTGTATTTGCTGATAACGTACTCAAGGAAGACCCTCGGACCCCGCACCATATGACTCACTTTGTGATGGATAATTTTCGTTTTTAAAATTCCTTCTGTCTTTTTCCTTGATTGTTTAAACAGCGGGCGTTTAATGCCCGTCTCCGGCCCGGCTAATGTCATCGTTTAACACACAATAAAGTATCGAAAAAAAGGAGAACCTTGAAATCGATTCCAGTCGTAACCTTTCAATTGGTATTTTATGATTCATGAACAAAACCGCAATGCCTGAAGCGCTAGCTGTTAAGATTTCTGAGCATCTTTTGACCTAACCACTGAATTTGTAAGCAGGTTTTCCCTAGATAATTATTCTTTAGGAACCCCCTTATTCGCAGTGTCTTCTGTAAATAAACGATTAACCACAAGCTGATACTGGCATTGTAACCTCAGCAAACAAAAGATTTGCAAGAACTTACATCTCGTATAAGATTTATATGTATTGCTTTTATTCATAAAATATACTGGTTAAGGAAAACGCACCTTGAGTTTTGTATCTAGTTGTCTCGAGAGGGTTTTATTGTAAAATTTGATCTAATTATCATAAGGAAATCATAAAATCTTACAACAGGACCGCCGGTACTTACACAGCACATCAATTCTTCCCTCTGTGTCCAACACTTCCTCAACAGTTTTCTGCACCGATTCGTCATTGCTCACATCCATTGCTTTGATAACCAGTGTGTCCCCAAGATATTCCTTGCCTTCCTCTTCCAGTTGTCCCTTCTTCTCCAGATTTCTCATGGTGGCATAGACCTTGAAGCGTTTCTGAGCATCTTTGGCGAGAAATACAGCTGTAGCGAGTCCGATGCCGCTAGAACAGCCAGAAATCAACACGATTTGGCGATCCATATTGCTTGAACTTTATCTAACTTTCTGACGTGCAACACAGCAGCGTTGTTTTGAAAGCTTTGGAAGCCGTAAAGGAGTGTTATCTTCTCCACCTGTCACATCTGATTAAACCAGAGTCCGCAGATGAGCTGTTGATGGATTACCTCCTCGATGGATATTGTTGTATTTTTTAGTTATGCTAATTTGTGGAAGAATAAACAATGGAAACCATCCAGCCAATTTTTGTACGATTACAGCGCGGTTAGCAATAAATTACATGGGATCATGATTGACTCGAATCGATTTAACTCCTTTATCCTCTGTAGCTAAAAAAAAATAAAAATAAAATCATATTAGCTCACTTACCCAGAAATTAATTTGTCCCTGTATCATTAGCTTGAGCAGTAATTAACATAAGAGAAACCGAGAGGTGATGAATCCACTGGGACCCACTAGCTGTGTGAGAGGTCGAATATGTGTCTAGAAGTCCGTGACCCTGGACTCGTCAAACTTGTCGCTAACTCAATTTACTACCTCAAGTCCGGTTGAGATGCTAATGTGATAATCTATATCTCATTGACTGAAGGAATCAACATCTATCGTGATTTAACTGGCATATTAGTAAAAAATTTCGCTATAACTTCCAATACTCGTGAATTAGCACATGTTTGAGAGTAATATTGCTGCAGTGTTGTGCCGCCAAGGTCGGGAAGTGAAATTCCTTAAGGTTTTGCATGACAGTAAATACGCGTCTTCTGCTTTGAAATTAATGTTGTGGGCAGAAATTAAAAAAAAGTAAAAAATAAAAAAAGCCGCACACACACTCGCAAAAAACAAACACACATCGCTCAAGATCGCAAATGAAAATCTTTTTAATTCTGGATTTGTTCAATTCTCAGAGTTTTAAGAAAGTTGAAGTAAATCTTCCTTCTCTTAAATATCGTCTTGGGAATTCTGTTCCTGACAGATTCTGTCTCAAAATAAACCTGGTAAAGAACTTTCGGAAGTTCAAAAAAAAATTGGCATGGGGCAGATTTGAAAAAGCCTTATACAATTACGTTAGTCAGTAATCTTATCATAATTTTAACAGATTTTAAACAATATTTCGGTTTTTCCGGACATACTTATTTCCACAGCGGGTAAGAACACATACGAAGCGAACGAAACGCGTTATTCCTCAGATTGATTGAAATCTTTCAGATCTGATCGAAGTTTTATGAAATCGTGCTAACAAATGATGGTTGTCACAGTAATCTGGTGTTTCGTGAATGAATTTAATATGCTTGCATCATCACCGTGGGAAATTCTTTTTCCGATGACAAATCGTATGTCATATTCTACAAATCCGATTGGTGGACTTCGAACTTTCCAAGGTATGCAAAGGAAAAAAAAAAAAAAACCGCTACAGAACAGGATTGAAAATGAGCGATCTTCACTCATCACAAGGGTTTCAATGACGTTTTTCCGTGATGTATCAAGCTTCCAGACGTGTCGGTAATAGGCGTTTGTACCCAAAAAAGAGTGTCGGGCGGAACCCAAGTACGAGAGCCTAACTTACTCGCTGGCCAAACAGGCGGCGGTGAGAGGTTTAACGGGTGCCGCGCCGGTAGACCGTCTTTTAACCGGCTTTCAGTTATCGAAACCTCCGTCGTCAAATGCAGCTCTAGCTTTAGTCATGAGGGAAAATGTAGTATCTTTGTCGCACTATCTCTTACGATCTTAGCGACCGCTCATTACTTATCGCTTGAAGATTTTTGATTTTTTGGCGATAAAATTTACCTGAATCCCCCCTCTATAAGCTCTGTAATATTGTTATCATTCCCCCTCATTAATCATTAGCAGTTAATTGGCAGTCACTTTTCTGTAGTCCTCCATTTATACTCAATACGTCGGCGATGAACGATTTCCTCTTCGTTCCCCCTTAAAACCATGTGATCCCCCCTAAAATCCTCCACCAAAACTCTCCAATCAGGCTATTAAATAATGGCTGGTCCGTAAGCAAACACTAAGCTGAGTTCCTGCCTTTTTCTCAGATTCTGTCTTCGACCCTCTCGGCTCGAGGAAGGAGCGCGGGGCTGGTAATTCAACCTAAACACATGTAGCATCCTGAACATGCGAATTTTTTGCGTATTACAGGGGGCGGAGGCTAGCGTGTGAGGAAAGGAAAGGTAAACACAATTTTCGAAGGATAGATGGTGATTATTTCATAGGAAGGAGGGAGAATTTCCTTGCTTGACTTTAGTTTTGGCGTCTTCCAGAGCAAGAATTTCGAATTCAGCCTTGTTTTGTATCGTGGTACCTTGCTTGAAGACAAATAAATGTTAAAAATAAAAAAAGTTAAAATAAAAGAAATAACGTAAAGTAGATAAAACGGACCACCGTAGATAAAAGAAATGAATAAAAGAAATAAATGAAAGAGGTGAATAAAATAAATATCAAAATCGGAAATAAAAATACAAAATATGTTATCTGTGCAATAATTTATCGTACTTTTCAAAAAATTAATAATTACTGTTTTATTTTAATTTGAGAGAAAGCTGGGTCGAATCTTCTGGCGCACGCGCACTGTCTGTAGTGTCAACAAAAATGGCGGAAAATGGTGAGGTTTTGAAGTTTGAGAGGTTAAAATAGCTCAAGTCTTTGCCATTTTTCAAGCTATTTTACAGAAGGAACTGAGCTATGTTGTTTCCTTTTTAGCTTCTTCTGCAATAGTGGTCGAGAACGAGGATTCCAAAGGTATGCGCGTGAAACACAACTGACACAACATGTGTTGAACTTTCCTAAACGTGCCCTTGTTTGGTTAAGATTGTTTTGACAATTTGCCAGTTTTGAAAGGACGTAATTATTTACGCTTTTATCCAAGGTCATTTTTATTTATGTCATTCTTCCAAATTTTTTTTCTCCAAGGCACATCTGGCTCTATAAGAATTTTAGCCCCGCCGAAGTTCACTTTGAGACAAGATATGAGTGGAAAGGTTACGGTAAGTGAAGTAAACAGTAAAAAGACACTTTTAAGTTTTGTTAGTAAACGTCGCGACCACGCTTAGGAGTAACGTTGTATTATTTTCAGTTGTATCAGTTCATTCCTTCATCAATATATTTGAAGTTTTGAAAATAATAATCGTGCACTAGCTGATGAGAATGCCACTGTTATGAGCAAACAAGGCTGAGATTGTATTATTGTGTAATTGAATTTGAATTAATCATTTGTTTAAAACTTTAAGATTTAATTGTATTTTTAAAGAGGAAATATTTTTAATTTTTGAATTTTTTAAAATTTTTTTATTATTTTTTTTATTATTCTGTAGAATAGGGGAAAAGAGTTCCATATAACCCCATACATTAATTATGCATTCCATTTCATAAAGACTAGATATAAAGGTTTCTTTGCAACATTCTATGCATAATTAATGTATGGGGTTATATGGAACTCTTGCCGAACAGGGGATTATTGATAACTATAATCTTGTAGTTAGGTCATATTCACCTATTCAATTTGGATACAGGTGAGATTTCATTAGACTAAGCTTGTGGAACCTTCCAGGATTTATTGCATGATTTGCATTTTAAATAAACCTGCATTTTCTTATGGAAGCAGCAAAAAGTCATTTAAATTACCTTTGTCTGCTTGATGCAGTTGTCTACTTTTGGTTTGGGTTTGTGTGAATCATACAGAATTTATTCATAGCGCAGGACAAAATATTATGTTTGACACTGTTTATTCTATTTGAAGTAAATTTTTAACAAAGATAGTTGATTTGGTTTATTCTGGTTAAGTTTATTTTATCTATTCACTTATTTTATTATCTATTTTTTTTTTTTTTTTTTTGCACTTCAGAACACTTTTCCAGAAGATGATGGCAATGTCATTGAGACTAAAGATGCAGATCTCAGTTCTAGTGGATCTGCAGTTAAGGTATACATAAAAGGTGGCTAGAACCTTGTAGATTGCAAATGCCTTATTCCTTGTTTATTGTTCGTGTTCAAATAGTGCTAATTATAGTAAAATTTTGTGTGCGCTTTGTTTGTGTCATTTGATAACGTTATGTAACATAGCATGTATTTAACTGCATTGTTCATTGTTGTTTGTGCAGTTTTGTCCAGTGTTTGTCCAGTATTTGTCTGTGCATTGTCCAGTAAGTTCGACTATTTTGTCATTCGCTTCGTGCAGCTATTTCGCCACTAGGCAGGGATTCAACAATATCACAACAAATGTAAGTTTTGTATTATGTAGTTTTCATCGGTGTTTTCGTTGTAGCTTCCCTAGTGTATTTAGCTTAGTTTCTATTGTACTAGGTTTTCTTTTGCGATTTTATTTGCAGTTTTAACCATGTTGCTTCGCCTTGTTTGTTTGTCTCCTCGAAACCCGAGTTGAAAATTGCGTTAGAGTTGTTTCAATAAAAGTATCAGCAGCACTCTAAGCTGCGACCATTTTGGTCGCCATGGCGAGTGAAAAAAATATTTGGCGGCTAAAATTCTGGCAAAAGTTGCCAATTGGCCACCAACAGATTAAAAGAGATACTTACTTGAAAAATTATCAACAATAGGACGAATTTAATCAATAGTGCAAGTGGTGGCATCATCTATGTTTCTCTTTTCGCATCTCATTGTTCAGCAACTAGACTGCGTGAAAAAAATGGCACATTCGATCGATTTGAAGGGGCAATTGGCAATGTTGCATGGTCTCAGCAGCTTTTTAATGTTGAAATAAATCGTTTTTGCTACTAGACAGTCTCTTCCTATTCTTTCTCTTACAGTAGCAAACCTAAGAGATAAAACATAGCCGTTCAGTGCATTGGCCAATGGTGTAATATATCATGAAGTGTCTTCCCCTTCTGTTTTTTTTTTTTGAGGGGGGGAAGAGGAGTGACTAATTTTTTTTTATGGTGACCATTTTACAATTGAAGGTCGCCAAACGGTGACTTTTTGAAAAATTGAGCTTAGAGTGCTGATCAGTGGCCTGTGGAAGTTATAGTCCTTAATTTTTTATGTTTCAAGAATGATATATTACCTTAGAGGTATGATTCAAGAGGCTACATAGCAAGAAGAGATGTAGAGAAGAAAACAACAGTAACCAAAACAACATCTGTGTATCCATGATACATGAATACAGATGCATCCAGATAGGAGCTTCTTAGCTCAAAATGTGGATAGACTACAAGCTCTATTCTCAAAGGCCAATCATTAAAGTCTCAAGGCAGGCTCTGTAAAGTTTTTAAAGGGTAGAGAGGAGAATATTTCTATTGAGTACTGAATTGCATTATCCCCAATGTAGAGAAGTGCAGAAAGAGAGGGAAATGATGAAGAATCGGAACCAGAGGAAGGCAAGTATAGATAACCATTAATCCAGAAGAAAACATATGACTTATTACCGCTGAGATTGCTGACAAATTTCAAACCCAATGCTCTTACTTACATGTTCTCTCCCGCATGTGTCTT